AGCGATTTCTCTTCCTCCTCAATTTAATTTCTAGGTCTTCAGGGTCTATATAGGACCAGGGGTCATGTAGAGCCTTCTTCTGCTTTGTGATGTGTACCCAGGACTTAACACCTTCTAGATTTGCAGCAGGGTCTGTGGTCAGACGCACCAGGAAAGGTCTCTTTTTAATGGAGCTAGAAGGGCTGTCTTCCTCTGATGACTTCCAGGATACCTAGTCACCAGGCTCTAAAGTATGACTGACAGGATCCTTTGAACTGGCATCTAGGAAGCTTCTTCAACCTCATGATGAGCAGAAGAAGGTTGCTTCATCCTATGCTGCTAGAATTCTAAAAATTTTGCAAGGTTATTGTTAAGGCTCCTATAATCTGTCTAGTGTCATGGGTGCTTCGATCCCTGGAAATAATGGAAAGTAGACCCCAAGTGGGAAACACACTTTTTAACAGTTTCTTTGCTCCTATGGGGACATCACCTTTGCAGTAGGGAAAGGCTTCAGCCCATCCAGAAAATAGGCAAACAATAACAAGAACATATCGATAACCCCTACTAACTGGCCGTTGAATGAAGTCCAGGTGCAGGCATTCGAAGGGTCTAGAGAGAGGGAGGTCTAAGGCCTCTGGGAATAAAAAGTTTTATTTTGTTTCATTTTGTTTCAGGATTATGGACCTGACAGGTCAGGCATCCCTGGTAGACTGTTTTGCAATTTTATAAATGTCTCTCCACCAATGTCTGTTTATAACTTGAGTGAGTCATCTTAAATGTACTGTGGTGGGTGAAAGAATGCAAAACCTGAAAAATGGGGTTTGCCAGGGAGCCAGGGAGAACCAAGTGGCCTTCTTGGGGTTCCTATAACCCCGACTGTTCACTTCATTTACAGGCATTGTTTGCCCACCTGCATTTTTGTAAGTAAGGAGCAGACTGTGGCCACGTTGTAAGGATATCCGTGTGGCAAAAGCCTGGCAATGAGCAGCCTTCCTTTTTTTTTCTCAGAAGAAGAATGGACTTAATCCACTTGCCACAGTTTTACAATGCAACATGAAGAAGGTTTAGTATTACCTCTTTTTTTCTTTTTTTAAAGATTTTATTTATTTATTTGACAGAGAGAGACACAGCAGGAGAGGGAACACAAGCAGGGGGAGTGGGAGAGGGAGAAGCAGGCCTCCTGCCGAGCAGGGAGCCTGACACAGGGCTCCATCCCAGGCCCTGGGATCATGACCTGAGCCAAAGGCAGAAGCTTAACGACTGAGCCAACCAGGCGCCCCTTAGTATTACCTCTTATTTGACAATGCTTCTCATGTAATTTGATATATCAAATAAGCCTAATGAGTTGAGCAAATCTTTTGGAATGTTCCAGGTCAAAAAGACTTTTAAGCAGACCAAAAACCCAAATTCTAATTTTGCACCAGCTTTTGATATTAAAACTTATTTTTAGGGGCACCTGGGTGGCTCGGTCAGTTGAGTGTCTGCCTTCGGCTCGGGTCATGATCCCAGGGTCCGGGAATCAAGCCC